AGCACACAGTTACATTCTGTCCATCATGTGGACAAAATCGAAAATGTTGAGCATTGAAAAACTGAGAACGTTGGGCAAGTTCAACAGAAATGTGTTTGTAAGAACGAAAAACCAAATTGTTCCTAAAATAGTTATGGAAAGTCACTGTTGTATGTCTGTGTTCTACATGTTTATCTGATGGGAAATAAAGTTGCTATTGTTTTATTGCAGTTTTTCGATAATTCTGAGTTCCATATGATCTTCAATTTGTAGCAGATCCACTATCACACAGCAGCTGGAGCAGTTTCAAATGGAGGTCAGTCCACTACTACCATAGCCTACTACTAGATTAACTTGTGACACATCTGCACCTGCTGCTATGATCACATTGAGTAGAGGCTGAGTGGCTGCACTTACCCCTGGTACATCCAAATCTACCCACAAACATGTTGAAAGATGCAATGCCAGCAATGTGGATTTCTTTTGTCGAACCTGAAGACCATAACTCATCAGGCAATTGCTCTAGCTCTGGGTACTTTTCTATTGTTAATGAATGTCGCTCATTATCATTCTGTGTCATACAGACGTTTGCACCGTCCGATAGATGAGTTGTGGGTATTGTTGTCATTACCCATCCTAATGTGTAGCGCATGCATTTTGTCCTTCTGCCTTGTAGCCATCCCTCCTGAGCTTCCCCTGTTTTCTCATATCTGTCAGTTTCTACACTTCTGAGGACCCGCCTTAAGTTTCTCCAATCTGTGTTATCATTATGAGCCACTGACACATGTGGGTTTGGCATCCTGTTTACTTCCTGAATTTTCTCGCTCTGTATCACTGAGCACACTGCATTTCCGCTTTTTGTGACATAGAGGTGCTGCAGTGTTAAACATTGTGGGCCTAGTCTGTGGATCTGTGCATCATATTGAGAATCTGGGCCTGGGCTTAATTTATATTGCAGTGTGTTGTGATACTCTGTATAAGGAAGTACAACAGATGTAGGTGGCAAATACATTTTGGCTTTTTGTTGTAATGGCTCTAGTGAGGGAAGATCTAGGGTCCAGTAGTAATGGGGCTCTGGTCCCGCTTTACAACCATTTGGGCGTGGTTTGATGCTTTCTATTTCTTCATCATTTAGCATTAGTTCTGCATGCATGCCTTGTTCTCCTGGCACTACTCCTATCTTTAGTTTTTTTAGTGCGTCTCTTCCTAACAGATTCACGGGGCATGACGGGTCATAGATGCACTGATTTTTGCATGATCTGCCGCTGTCTCTTAATACTAAAAATAAAGGTTTTGTCAGTCGTTGCACTGTAGTGTGACCTGATGCTGATTTTACTATTAAAGTATCTTCTGAGAATTGTACTTCCTGTGGTTTTTTGTTCAAAATGGTTTTACACGCTCCTGTATCACATAACATCTGCACTGGCTTGCCATTCACATATACTGTCAGCGTAGGTTTGCCTTCTACTTCAGAAACTAATTGATGGACATTAAATACTTCTGC